GAACTGTATTATGGGACATGTATACATATTTTAGTATGACGTTTGCGTCTTTACGTATCTCAGTTTATTTCTCCGCTTTCTATGTATGCAGATTATGCTGCTATTTCCAATTCCCTTTCAGCTTACCAAATATCTTGACGTACAATGTTTTGTAAATGCAATTAAGTTTCACCAAGTCTTGAAAACAATGTTATAAATCATTCTACAAATGATTCAAAATATGCCAGTCTGTTGGTAAATTGTAGAGAAGCCGACTCTGGGCCCATTTTCGAGTGTCAGAAACGAGACGTAAAATACTGTATGGCTGAAAATCCTGTCGAGAGATTGTGGTATGAAGACAAGTGTAGCAGATCCTCCGAAGGGTGTTTGTTCTCCTCCAAAATTGGGACAGATTTTCTTCTTTTTCTCCCGTGTGATTTGTCTTTGATACTTGTGCACCTTGAGCTACATTCTTGGTGATGATATGGTTAAATGAGCAAATGATTTATGTCGATCTTGACTGATGAATTAAACTGAAAGTGTCCGGCCATTGAGAAACATGATAAAATATTCGTAGCCAACAGAATATTTTACTTCGCTTATTATTTTCTAAAAAGGAAAAGCTTCCGAATTTTTACAAGAATTTATGGTGATTTATTAAGTTGACAGCGATTTATTAAGTTGTATATTTCATGCTTTTATTTTACTAACACTTTTGCTGATATACCGCATGATAAAAATGCCTTAGTAGAGAGACTACAGTAGCAGAAATTCATAACTGTATTACAAAAGTGTGTAGGAATTACACATATACGTAATGAAACTGGAAAAAGCTCGTTGTAATAATTTGGCGTGGTAGATCGATGCATAAACTAGAAACAGATGTATCCGAATTCAATGCTTTCATTTTTATTCATATTTGGTGTATATTTTTATTTAATCCAATGCAAAACAAATCGGTGCTAAAGGCGAGATTGCGCAGCAAAGATCTTTTATATGGAGGCCGGATTATATTAAACAGATTCCATTTTAAGCGGGTTAAATTTCAGATACATAACAGACTAATATCCGGATGCTGATTTAAGATTTCATCACATTCGAGGAATAACTGCGCAGTAGAGATCAGATAACGGATCCATTTTCAGAATTGCAAGAAGTAAAGATTATAGTAGAAAAGTTATTTCTTTGCTATTTTTAGAATGAAGAGGAAAGCATGTTCAAATTCAAAAGAGTAATGAGAGAGGTATTGCTAATTTATTTGTAGAGTTATTAGGTTAATTGGAAGTAGGAAAGATGAAAATATGCAACCGCCTTCGCCGGGAATCGAACCACGGACTTCTGGAATACCAGCCCAGCGTGCTGAACCGCTGCACCACGAAGGCTCGCTAGGGAAGTGGGAGAAATACCTTATATACTCCCCTTTTTAAAGGGTGACTAGGGTTTTAGGGGACCTACTCGCTAAATCCTGGGTGCGGAGAATCATCATCCACAACCCCTTTTAGTTCGGGCGCCACTTGTAGAGTCATTAGGTTAATTGGAAGCAGGAAAGATGAAAAATATGCAACTGCCTTCGCCGGGAATCGAACCACGGACCTCTGGAATACCGGCCCAGTGTGCTGAACCACTACACCACAAAGACTCGCTAGGGAAGTGGGAGAAATACCTTATATAATATTAGAAAGGTAGATATTTTATACACACACACACATATATATATATATACCCAGTACCTAGTGAACTGAAGAATAAGTTAAGTAATAATAAAAATTTCAAAGTTCATGTTATTATTTAATGCATTGTATAAATTCATGTTTTGTATCCGTTTAATTTCAGATGCAAAGACTCAACAATATTTCGAAATAAAAAAAAAAGGTCATGGTTTCTTTTCATCAGAAACAAATTATTCAGAAAAATATTACCTCCTTCCGTACAATAAAGTGTTTACGCAAAAGGATGGTCAGTTATTTTTTAGTTTAATTACTAAAGGACAAAACAAAATACCTAATTTTATCGAAGAATTGGCGTTATATCAGAAAACGCTCAACGAATGTGCAAAAATGCTTTAACACATGCTTCAAAAATAAATCTATGCATTTGTCGACAGTAAAAATTTAAATTTTACTATCTAGAAGCAATTTTTTTTTTTTTTTTTTTTTTTTTTTTGACTAGCTGAAATCAGCTATAGCATTTACGATTGTGTTGTTCCAAAATCCGAACTTACCTTCGAAAATCGGAATAAAATTTGCTTTCTAAAGTAACCTTTAGTCCCTCCACTTGACCACATGGGAGCGAAGGGCCTATTGATTCTTGTCCTTAGACAAGAAGTGAGAGATTTCGAGTAAAACGAGATAGCACAAAACTTAAGCGAAACATTTCTATTTCGAAACACCATTTTGTGAATTTTATTTACTCTTTGTCTAGGGAGAAAACTCAAAGAAATCGACAAGATTGGGAGTTTGTTTGTGTTGTAGGATTTGCAATAAAAATAATGTTTCTTTATTTGTTTCAACACTAACAGCTCTAGAAAACAGAAACACGGAAAAGTTCGTTAAAATGTTAAATAAATCATTAAGGGCAAACATTTTAAGGTTATAAACTCATTAAATTAATGTATCATGTTATTTAATTTTCAACACTATTGGTGCATAAATGCTACACGACAAGTGTAATATACTCATATGTAATAATTTCCTAAATAAGTTTATATGTAAAAGAAGAGAGCAAATGCCACAGATAATTTGCAACATAGCAGACGACCCTATATTACTTTTCGTTGTTCCCTTCACTTCAAATCCGATTTTTATTTCATTTTGCTACTTGTTTTACATCTTTGTTGCAGTAGAAACTAGACCTGTTTCTACGACTGGTGCAATATTGGAGTACATGGTCGCCAGGATTTACATCGATCGTGAAATTAGGTACATCCGAATATTTACAAAACTACTAATAAATAGGAAAAAGACACTACGAAAGTGCAGTAAAAACCACAAGAAACACTTTTCATATTAAGAATGTCAATACTCTGATTAGATTTTCATTGGTAAGATTTACGTTACACTACTAATTTCGCATCTGGGGTCATTCATGTAGCTAGAGAAACATTAGGCATTCCATACCGCGTAAAAAATTTAACTCTTTTTTTTTTTCAAATTACATCAGTAAATTGCTTGAAAAATTTGCTTTGATTTATTTTGACTATGTCAAAGAGTACGAGGGCATATGAATAAGGGAAGGAATGTCTTGGTGGAGGACTTTCTAAGGGAAACTCTTCCGTATCCGTGTTACACATGGGGAAACCACAAAAACGCTTATGCATCATTCATCAGCCCTCTTCGTCTGGAATAGAACCCAGGTCGAATTACTACTGTTTAGAGAACTTAACCGCTCTGTCATTGGAGGACCACTTGTAAAAAATGATTTTACAAGCTCTGTTAAATTAACGCAGGTGTCGTTCATAATATGAAATCGCAGATTAAATTGCAAAATGCTAATTAATTCATATGTAACACACTTTATACAATTAAATTTATATATTACATTCATGAAAATTTTAATTAAACTTTTTAGAAAAAAAATTTTAAAGAACGTAATAGCAAAATAAAACAAAGCATTAAAATGTAAAATCGTTATCTTAATATAAACTAGGAAATTTTAATTGATTGCTGTTTATCAATTAACTGAGAATAAATTTGTAATTAAAATTCCTTAAATGAGTTGCATTTTTTAACTGATTATTACGTAAAATGGAATGTCCGAAGCAGTAGCTTTCAACCTTTTCTACACATGAACCCATTTCATCACAGCTAGAACATCACCCCCGCCATCTTATTTAAAACTTGAAAAATACATATATACATTTCAGTATTTTCAGAATTCTTTTTGGCCCACCAGCGGCCGAGCGGTAAAGTCGCTGAACACTGGTAGTTCGGTCGGAGGTTCGAATCCCGTGAACTGACTAGCTGCATGCGCGCTTTCGTGGTTTTCCCCACGTGTAACGTGTATACGAGCCAGTTTCCCTTATAGAGTCCTCCACGAAGGCATCCCTCCCCTTAGGCAGATAGCCCTCGAGGCTTTGCCATAATCACACACACACAGAAAGAATTTTTTTTAATGTGTTTTACAAATTAAGCAAGGAAAAGTATAGCAAATGCTGGTAAATACTAGACAACAATAGCAAATCATCATGTTATTAAAGAAGATTTAAAAGGCTCTTTTACATATATTCATAAACTAAAATTAAATACTTAACAGATAAATAAATGGCTGATCGCATTCCCTCTCCCTGAAATTATAAAATTCCCTTCCTTGTTGAGAAACCATGGTCTGAAGTTCTTTGACATTTTTAACTCTGTTTCTCTTTTCATTTATTTACTTATTTTAAACACCAGTTTGATCTCAAAAGAACTGACTGAGCAAAGTAAATATTTTAAGGTTCTCGAAATCATTCATGAGTTTAAAACGCCTGAAATAAAATGCTGAGTAATAATATTTAAAAATAAAATATTTTATTTATTAAGTTTAGCATCTCCCATAACTTAATAAGGCATGAAATTTTCAAACGCTTTAAGATTTATTATAATTTTTAACATTATCTAATTTGACACGGGGTTACTTCACTGGGCGCCGAATTTTAGAGGAATTTAGGGCGGCAAAATCTGGGACTGGCCCTGATTTGACATAAATAAAAGTTGCATTAAATTACTTACACATACTAACCGTTACGATGTAAATTTTCACAACAGAATTACATTTAGTTAGTAAAGGACAGATTTATTGAACTGAATTTTCTGATTTATGGACGTGATCGAAAAAACAATATTAATCGTACTGTGAAATAAAAATAAATAAGTAAATAAAAAGAAAAACGTAGTACTATATTTTCTGATCAAAATTTTTTAAATGTTGTTATCATTAGTATGCTTCATTAAAAGATAAGGAATAGATTTGTATTAATTACTACCAAATATGAGCAAACAAGCTAACCGTCGAATTCATTCTTCTTATCTCGACTTTATCCTTACCTTCTTGAATATGTCCGTTTTTGTCCGAATAAACATAGTTAATAGGAATATTACAATTAACAGTAACGTAAAGCGAATAGTGCTAAGTACTGTGCTCCAGTTTTAAGAATATTTTTAAGAGTGATGACAGCGCAGAAAAGAAATTTTAATTGTCAGTCTGATGGATGTGTTCAGCGAAGCTTCTCTAAGCTCTGAAGCTCTCTGGTATCGCAGAGCCATCTCTCGGAGAAGAACAGAAGCTCTCAGAACGTGACTGTACGACTCATTGCCCTGGTCTTGTAAAAATCGAGAAAACAAGGGCAGTTTGTTGAAGAGAAAACTTTCCACAAGTGCAACAAGTTTTTAGTTTTGATGCTTAAGAAATTTGATTTGTAGCTTTCACAAATGCCAGCTAGATGTTAACACTTACCTAAACATGGAAATCTGAATGCAATTCGAAATTGTTTTGTATGAGATGGATAAAATTTTCTTCATTCATGCAGAGATGATATCGTAGGAAACATGTAAAGATTTAACCTCCAGAAGACAAGGATTTTATAAATTTCATAAATTATATTGTATTTTAACTAAACAGCAATTTAGGAAGAAGTGTTAGAAAGCCGAAGAACATAAAACTAACATCAAAATATACTTTAAAGAAATCAACAGTCAAAATATTTATTTCTAAAATTAATTTTAAGAAAAGTTTAATACTTTTAAGGTAAAGAAATATCTATTATGTTAAGTATTGACAGTTAATCAAATTGGAAGAGAAACACGCTAAAGTAAAATTTAAAATTAGGCCAGCACAAAATATTTGTCTCCTGAAAAAAGGAATCTGTGTTTAGTTTTTCAGATCAAATTTTATCTGTAGATAAAAATAAGAATAAAATCCATGTGCTTAGTATATGATTTCAAGTATTTTACTATTTCAAAGTTACGTTTTGTAGAAAAAGGGATCTGGATTTAATTTTCCAGATTAAAGTGTATCTTAAGGTAAAAAATACGAATAGAACTCATGTGCTTAGTGTACGGTTTCAAGTGTTTTACCATTCCAAATTTAGATTTTGCAGGACGATCATTTTCGTTTGGCAAACAAATTCTTATAATTAGATAATTATTAATTAATAAGTCGATAATTCCTTTGGCTCGAAATAATTTTAGAATTTGTCGCCCCTTTTTTCTATTTAAATTTATTTTTAGTATCTGTAAAATGAACACTCTGACCGAAAATAAGAAAAGATAAAAATCAATCGTTTTTAAGTACAAATGGGATTGTTTCTGTTTCTATTTTATTAGTAATAGAAATTTATTGTGAATTTTCGACAATTCATTTTAGCTAACCCGAAAACCTTTGAAGTACTTATATATATTCTTTCTAAAAATACCTTATTATAGAAATTAATGAATATATTAATTTAGAAAAATCATTTCAATGGTAGATCGAATTTCATCATTAAATCTTTAAAGTCAGAGAACTTTCCCCTAAATTTTAAGCTGGAATTATTTGCGTAAATTTTTATATTTATTTTCTGAAGCACATTCATATATTTAATCTAATGCATTTACCTATTTAACTAGAAAAGTTTTATTTTATAATTTAACGTAGGAATTGTAATTTTATGCTGCAATAGCCCACCATACAGCAGGAAACTGTCGGGGAAATATGCAAATCATGTTTAAATAATGGTTTGGTTAATTAAATAGGTTTCGGTGCAATCAAATCTGTGTGATCTAGCAGATGCAGGAAAAACTAAACCACTGTTACAGAAATATTAAATAAACTACTGCACTAAACCTCTAATTCAGTCCAAATAACAGTAAAGAGTTCTGTTGAGAAGACTGTTTCTACTATTAGCTTGTCCAATCATTTTAGCCATTTATTTCTATACCTTAAGCGATGTCTAAAGTTACTCAAGTTTGCCTACACTTAAACCTGGAATTGGTTACTTAAAGAAGGGTATTAATAAGGAAAATAACCTAAAATATCCTACATTTGAGTCCGCGAACAGAGAACGTTTCATAACACAAGGTAAAGAAGAAAAGATAAAAAAGAATATTCTAGACACTTAAGATGCGAAGCTTATACATCTTTTCAAACGCTGATTCTCATTTTATGGATTTGCATCTTCCAAGCACACACATATCAGTTGTTCTCAAATTCTCCGAGAATACTACGTATCTCCAAGATTGTGGGTAGAATGGCTATATTTTGTAGGAAATTACGTTTATTAACCTGGCACGCTTCAGCTACCACGATTCTCAAGACGCAGGACACTTGTTAAAATGAGATACTTTAGCCTCTGGCTAGAAGAAGAGAGTTGAAAAAGAGGTATCGTAGGTAAGTTGAAAAAATTAAAGAGCAAACAGACAGTAAAATAGCAAACGGAGTTGAAGAATCGTAATTTTTGATTGCTGACTTGAAATAAATGCTTCTCTTCATAGCGTTTACGGTTATGATCATGACGTTATAAGGATATTGATGATGCTTTTTAGAGTCAGTCTTGATATTTGAAAATAATTTTCTTTTTAACTGTTATAAACATCCGAATCCATAATTCCGCTAAAGGAAGTAACTGTTTCTAATTCAATAAAATAGAAAACTGCTTTACTCAAAATAGGTATTTTTAACAATGTAAAAAATAAGTGCAATAAGAATTACATTTCTTAATGCAATTAACGTTAGCTGATGAATTTAGATTTTCCGCTTATGCTCTCTAAGGAGCTTATTATATTAATTTGGTTTATAATATAATAATTAAAAATTTGTTAGTGGCATTATATCACAACATTTAATTCTTTATTAATTATAAAAATGGTAAGAATAGTTTAAAAATGGGATATCAAATAAAATAAATATGAAGAGGAACAGTTTCACAACAGTATAGTAACGTGTTAAATTAAAACAAAATATAATAATAATAGCCTTTTCTAAGTGGTAAAAAAGTATTAAAACTGGAATCTGAGAACTTCAGATTGTATTATAAAACCTTGAATAATGTATTATTAAAATTTCATCCAATTTAAAAAAAATATAAATGTCATAAGAATAATGACTGTAATCTGATCTGGATACGTAGATCTCAGTTTAACACTTGAAATTGTTTTTAAATGAGAAGTTACGATAGTCTTGCTAATTTAAAATTTAAAAAAAAATAGTCCCTTTCCCTTTCAGAAATTAAATAGTAAAACTATATTTCGAATGTGTTGTTAAAAACAATAAATCCAAATGATAGAAGAAAAAAGCTGCGGCAACGATTTTCATAGTGAACTTTAATAAAGTAAAGACTTAATTATTCAAATCGTAGCTGTATGCATGTATTTATGTCAATGGATATTTTACATGCAAGGCATGAAACAAAAATTTCCCTCAAGTAGCAATATTTTCTGTTTTCTAGGACATGAAATACAGGAAATCAATAAATACCTCTAAGATGTTTATTTCGAAATTTTTAATAGCGTCTGTTTGTTGTACAATAGCTCACTTTTAGATTATAAAAAAGATTAATTTTCTCTGAAATAAATGGTGTGTAACATTTGTTAAAGCGTTTAAAAATTATATAACTCTACATAGTTATGTAAACGAAAATGTTGCTAAATAGGTAAAATTAAAAAGTACAAGATAGAATAAATACTTTCAGGTTTAGTGAAAACAGTTTTTTTACTTTATCTATAACTGTGTTATCATTTTTCTCATCGATTCTTTAAAAAATGTGAATTTTTTGTTTTTAATTCATTTTAAAAGGAGAAATTAGGAAACCTGGTACACTTTAAGGTATTTCTCTTCGTGTGTAACGGTTAGTACATTCGGCGCGTATTCGAGAGGTCCAGGTTCGAGTCCCAGCAAGGGCATTTCTCATTTTTCATGTTTCCTACTTCAAAAACCCTAATGACTGTGTACCATTAGACAAAGCTGAATTTTTTCGCTTTTCAATACATTCTTTCTGAGCTGCATGGACCACCAACAGCCGGGTAGTAAAGTCGCTGAACACTGATAGTTCGATCCGAGTTCGGAACACGACAAATGAGCTGGCTATAATGGCATTTTCGTGGATTTCCGCATGTATGCATAGATGTGACCAGTTTCCTTTAAAGGTTCTTTCACGAAACCATTCCTCCCGTCAGGCAGATAACCTTCGTGTGTTTTGCCTTAATCAAATAAAGCAAACTATCCAAATTTTCCGAACTACTTCTGAAACCTTATAACTGTCTTAAATACTAATAAATTAAGGAAAATTTTCGTGAATTACGAATGTCCTTAATTATTTATGTATATAGTATTTGATACAGGAAAAAATTGACAAATTTTTAAAAATCAGTTCAAAATCTTTAATAGTTTTATATGCATCCCCAAAGCAAAACAAATGAGCAAAATTAGTCTTCGTACCATATTTAATACCTTAATGTTCTTACAGAGAAATGTATTTGATGAAAGTATTAAATATCTTTGTTAAAAATATTTTTATGCTAGTAAATTAGGATTTTCACTCCTTTTATAGAAATATACTGGAGACTTTTCGCAGCTTTTTTTGAACTACTATTTTGAAAATACAGATTGATAATACCGTATTTACTCGTGTATTTACCCTCTTAGCTTTTCAGTAGAAAGTTCTGAAAATTGTTTTAAGTATTCAGCTAATTTTCCCCTTCTTCAATGCATTCGTAAAACAATGCGATTTTTAAAAATGGATTCGTCCACATAGTGATACTACTTCCACATACTTCTTTCTAATTGATTAGTCTATAGATTTGGGCGCATGGGATCTGACTAATGAAGATGTAAGAACAGACATGAACTTCGAAGAAACAAGGATATTTGATACAAATGAAGGTTCTAAAGATCATTGCACATCTGAAAATATTTCAGTTATTCACGTACTAGGCCTCCTCCTCAAAGGCGTTCAGAAAGAGAGCTCCCACAAATTTTAAAATAAATTCATCCACACAATGGTTGTTTTTATCTCACTAATTCATTTGCTCGTGATTTTTGAGTACAAAGGTTCTGATTGATGAAACAATTGCAGTGGAGAACTTCAAGAAACCAGGTATATCTAATGCCTTTCATGATTCCGAAAAATCGTTTTACGAGGGAAGAGAGATTGACCGGTGACAAAGATGAAGATAAAGGTAACGATGAC